TGTGTGTGGGGGGCGGTGTGTGGGGGGAGTGGTGTGTGTGGGGAGCGGTGTGTGTCGGGAGCGGTGTGTGGGGGGCGGTGTGCGTGGGGGGCGGTGTGTGTGGGGGGCGGTGTGTGTGGGGGGCGGTGTGCGTGGGGGGCGGTGTGTGTGGGGAGCGGTGTGTGGGTGTAGCGTGCTAGCGCTACGCTGCGCTATGAACCTGGCGACCCGGGTTCGATTCCCGCTCACGGCCAACACCGGTGACGATGATTTGAACCGGTCCTGGGCCTCCCCACCTGGGTCGACTCGGCCTCAAATGAGTACCTGGTGCGGTGTGTAGTAAACATCGCCACTAGGGAGACAAAGGCGGCCGGGCGTGGTGCTGGCCACCCGCCCCCTCGTGTGCCGTTACCGGCCTTCATTGGTGCTGCTCGCTAACAGCACTTGCCCCTACGGTCTGTTAAGGCTACACGGGGGGTCTTTGTCTTTGTATCTGTTGTGTGTGTGTGCGCGAGTCTAAGCTGGCTGAACGAGATGCTCGGTGGGAGTGCTGCAGGGAGCGTGGGCGATTTGACGATTAAGCTGCGTTTAATTGGGTCACACGTTCCAGATGTCACAGTCAGTCAGGCATGCGTTGCAGGCAACGATACACCGCCTCACTTGCCGACGGGGCTTCATTGCACACGGAGCTGTCCGGGGCTGAGCTCTGGAATATACCCCCCCACCCCCATCCCCCACACACTTATAGGGTAGTGGCGGGGGGTGATTGGGGGAGATCCGGACAATATTCCGTGAGAAATTCAAAGTCCTCATCATCATCATCAATCATCATCTTCATTATCATCGTGATTATCGTCATTAACACTGCTATTGTTTATACTTTGTGAGTATCATTATTACAAACTATAAAGAGCTAGTGAGGTCGTCGGTGGTGATGGTGTTTAAAGTGATGGTGTTAGTGATGGTGGATTTTTAGTACTGTGGTGGTGGTTTTGATGGTGTTAGTCGCAGTGGCGGTGATGGGAAGTGATGGTCATAGTGATGCTGTTGATGCGTTATGGTTGTGTGATGTGAGAGTTATCTTGATGGTTGTGATGGTTGTGTGATGGTTGTGTGATGTGAGAGTAATCTTGATGGTTGTGATGGTTGTGATGGTTGTGTGATTGTTGTGTGGTTTGAGAGTAATCTTGATGGTTGTGTGATGTGATAGTAATGTTGATGGTTGTGTGATGGTTGTGTGATGGTTGTGTGATGGTTGTGTGATTGTTGTTTGGTGTGAGAGTAATCTTGATGGTTGTGATGGTTGTGTGATGTGAGAGTAATGTTGATGGTTGTGATGGTTGTGTGATGGTTGTGATGGTTGTATGATGTGATAGTAATGTTGATGGTTGTGATGGTTGTGTGATGGTTGCATGATGGTTGTATGATGGTTGTGTGATGGTTGTGTGATGTGATAGTAATCTTGATGGTTGTGATGGTTGTGTGATGGTTGTGTGATGGTTGTATGTGAGAGTAATCTTGATGGTTGTGATGGTTGTGTGATGTGATAGTAATGTTGATGGTTGTGTGATGGTTGTGTGATGGTTGTATGATGTGAGAGTAATCTTGATGGTTGTGATGGTTGTATGATGGTTGTGTGATGTGATAGTAATGTTGATGGTTGTGCTGGTTGTGATTGTTGTGTGATGGTTGTGTGATGTGATAGTAATGTTAATGGTTCTGTGATTCATATTCTTAGTTTTTTCGGTAAAGTCACGTTGAAGAGAAACAACAAAATAACAAAATATATATAAAACAATAAAAAAAATTTCTCACGACGTTTCGACCATAACTCAAACGGTCATCATCAGGTGTGTCGGTTTGCATAAATTTATTTTGATTTATTTTAGCAATCATTGGAAAGATTTGATAAATCATTTCAGTTCTTGATTGATTGTTCACGCTTACAGTGGCTTTCAGACAGCATACATAAAAACAAATTTCGTCTCCCCCCTCCTCTTTTCAAAAAAATAGATGGACTAGTCCTGGCAAACAGCCAATCGTTGCGCGTGACGCAAACGTTATTTTTATATATATAAATAAATAACTATGTTGTTTTCAAAATAAATTTATGCAAACCGACACACCTGATGATGACCGTTTGAGTTATGGTCGAAACGTCGTGAGAAATTTTTTTTTTTATTGTTTTATATATATTTTGTTATTTTGTTGTTTCTCTTCAACGTGACTTTACCGAAAAAACTAAGAATATGAATTATTGCAGTCACGAAAGCTTTAAATCAAAAGGTTCTGTGATTGTTGTGTGGTGTGAGAGTAATGTTGATGGTTGTGATGGTTGTGTGATTGTTGTGTGGTGTGAGAGTAATCTTGATGGTTGTGATGGTTGTGTGATGGTTGTATGATGGTTGTGTGATGTGATAGTAATCTTGATGGTTGTGCTGGTTGTGTGATGGTTGTGTGATGTTATAGTAATCTTGATGGTTGTGTGATGGTTGTGTGATGTGATAGTAATGTTGATGGTTGTGTGATGGTTGTATGATGTGATAGTAATCTTGATGGTTGTGATGGTTGTGATGGTTGTGTGATGTAATCTCCAATCTCACCCGGGAAATGTTTGAAGTTCCTGTACTTGCACAACAAAAGAGAGACAAAGACGGCTGCATTTTCCCAGCTTGTGGCATCGAAAATTAGAAATCTGCGGAAGCTCCACCACTCTCACCCTCAAATCCGCGCCACCTTTCAGTACCGTTCCACTGCTAGATTAGGGCCCTCCCCACGCCGTGCAGGTCGTTGTGGGGAAAGAGGGGGGGGGTTATTTGACCATACTTCACCACGCTGGTCAGTGCTGGTGGGTGATGATTGCTTCGGAGTATGGCAGCTGAATGTGGGCTGGTTTTATAAATCACCCCGCACCCTCCCCAGCGCCTTTGTCCAACATCGGCGGCAGTGGCGTGAGCCAGCAATTGCAGGGCTGCGCCTTTACCCCTTTCCGACCAGCACGACGAGGCCGTGGGCTGCCAATGGAACGCGATGTCGGGAACTTCCACGGATCACGGATGACCCAGGACGCGCGTACTGAGGATAGCCCAAGACTTCACCGCTGAGCAATGTTGGAAATCTGCGGCAGCAACAGATACCCCCCGCAGACGGACTCGCGTTTCCCCACGTGACGTACAGAAGACACTCGAATGATAAAAATGAACACGAGGACTTGCAGCATCCAGAGGTCGGAGACGCCGAGATTCAGCCGGGATCTTGTCGACTCGTAGAGACCCATCGACTCGCACAGAGACCCATCGACTCGCACAGAGACCCATAGTCTCACGTAGAGATCTACAGACTCGCACAGAGACCCATATACTCACGTAGAGACCCACAGACTCACACAAAGACCCACAGACTCACAAAGACTCATAGACTCACAGAGGGATCCACAGACTCACACAGAGACCCATAGACTCACGTAGAGACCCATAGACTCACACAGAGACCCATAGACTCACACAGAGACCCATAGGCTCACATAGAGACCCAAAGACTCACAAAGACTCAGACTCACAGAGAGACCCACAGACTCACGGAGAACCCCACAGACTCACAGAGAAACCCACCGACTCACGTAGAGACCCACAGACTCACACAGAGACCCATAGACTCACACAGAGACCCATAGGCTCACATAGAGACCCAAAGACTCACACAGAGACCCATAGACTCTCATAGAGACCCATAGACTCACGGAGAACCCCACAGACACACACAGAGACCTATAGACTCACGTAGAGACCCATAAACTGTGCGAGTTTATGGGTCTGCGTGTGATGAGTCTCTGGGTCTCTGTGTGGTGAGTCTATGGGTCTCTGTGTGGTGAGACTATGGATCTCTGTGTGGTGAGTATGTGGGTCTCTGTGGCTGGGTCTAAGTATGGTGACTCTCTGGGACTCTGTGTGAGCCTGAGAGCCTCCGTGTGAGTCGGTGGGTTTCTGGGCGAGTCTGTAGCTCTCTGTGCGAGTCTATGGGTCTCTGTGTGAGTCTATGAGTCCCTGTGTGAGTCGATGGGTCTCTGTGTGAGTCTATGGGTATCTGTGTGAGTCTATAGGTCTCTGTGTGAGTCTATGGGTCTCTGTGTGAGTCTATGGGTCTCTGTGTGAGTCTATGGGTCTCTGTGTGAGTCTATGGGTGTCTGTGTGAGTCTATGGGTCTCTGTGTGAGTCTATGGGTATCTATGTGAGTCTATGGGTCTCTGTGTGAGTCTATGGGTCTCTGTGTGAGTTTATGGGTCTCTGTGCGAGTCTATGGGTCTCTGTGTGAGTCTATGGGCCTCTGTGTGAGTCTATGGGTCTCTGTGTGAGTCTATGGGTCTCTGTGTGAGTCTATGGGTCTCTGTGTGAGTCTATGGGACTCTGTGTGAGTCTATGGGTCTCTGTGCGAGTCTATAGGTCTCTGTGCGAGTCTATAGGTCTCTGTGCGAGTCTATGGGTCTCTGTGCGAGTCTATGGATCTCTGTGCGAGTCTATGGGTCTCTGTGCGAGTCTATAGGTCTCTGTGCGAGTCTATAGGTCTCTGTGCGAGTCTATAGGTCTCTGTGCGAGTCAATGGTTCTCTAGCGCAGCGAGTGGATGGTCTCAGCCAGGTCACCAATGACTGCACAAGGAAACCCTGAGCACATCCAAATTGGTTCTGCGCTGAGTTTGGTAAACTCAAGAGAATTAAAAGAGCGGGTTGTCTGTCACACGACGCGCACGACTCTCGTACGGCGGGGCGCATGGGAGAGAGAGAGACCCCCAAGCGGTGATGAAGTTTTTTTTGTTTTAAAAGCCAATTTAAGTACAGTGAAGTAAATTTTGATTTAAAGCGTTCGCGACTGCAGTAATCCATATTCTTAGCTCTTTCGGTAAAGTCACGTTGAAGGGAAACAATAAAATAATAAAATATATATAAAACAATAAAAATTCTCACGACGTTTCGACCATAACACAAACGGTCATCATCAGGTGACCGTTTGCGTCACGGTCGAAACGTCGTGAGAATTTTTTTTATTGTTTATATATATTTTATTATTTTATTGTTTCCCTTCAACGTGACTTTAGCGAAAGAGCTAAGAACATACAGTGAAGCACTAACAACAATTGCGGTAGGCAGAGGAGCTTCCGCGGATTTTTAACTTTCATGTTTGCAGCATCGGCCTCTCGTAGCAATCCGCGGCAGTCCGCACCCGCACGGGGTGGGTGCGGACGAACTCCCACGGATTTCTCCCTTCGCCGCGGCTGCTCCTGCATTCCCTCGTAGAAATCCGCGGCCGGACTACGAAGCTCGTCAGATTCCTCCAGTCTATATAAAGATTCTGATTCTGAGGTGGTTGGGGGGGGTGGTTGGGGGGGGGGTGGGGGTTGGGGGGAGGTGACTTCCACGGATTTCTTCCAGCGCTGTCCCCACCTCCCCGATCGCTTAGTCATCACCTCCGCACAGCTGGATGAGCGCCCGCTTGTAGTCACCCGACGTGTCACCCTGTGAAGACAGGCGGACGCGGCATGCCTGTCGCTTGCTGCCTGTGCTGTGCACGTGCCTGGTGGACTTCGTTTGCACCGTACGTGGCCAACGGTGATAATCGGAGGTAAGGGAGTCTGTGGGTCTCTATGGGAGTCTGTGGGTCTCTATGGGACTCTATGGGTCTCTATGGGAGTCTGTGGGTCTCTATGGGAGTCTGTGGGTCTCTATGGGAGTCTGTGGGTCTCTATGGGAGTCTGTGGGTCTCTATGGGAGTCTGTGGGTCTCTATGGGAGTCTGTGGGTCTCTATGGGAGTCTGTGGGTCTCTATGGGAGTCTGTGGGTCTCTATGGGAGTCTGTGGGTCTCTATGGGAGTCTGTGGGTCTCTGTGGGAGTCTGTGGGTCTCTGTGTGAGTCTGTGGGTCTCTATGGGAGTCTGTGGGTCTCTATGGGAGTCTATGGGTCTCTATGGGAGTCTGTGGGTCTCTATGGGCGTCTATGGGTCTCTATGGGAGTCTGTGGGTCTGTCTCTATAGGAGTCTGTGGGTCTCTATGGGAGTCTGTGGGTCTCTATAGGAGTCTGTGGGACTCTATGGGAGTCTGTGGATCTCTATAGGAGTCTGTGGATCTCTATAGGAGTCTGTGGGTTTCTATGGGAGTCTGTGGGTCTCTATGGGAGTCTATGGGTCTCTATGGGAGTCTATGGGTCTCTATGGGAGTCTATGGGTCTCTTTGGGAGTCTATGGGTCTCTATGGGAGTCTGTGCGTCTCTATGGGAGTCTATGGGTCTCTATGGGAGTCTATGGGTCTCTATAGGGTCTATGGGTCTCTATGGGAGTCTGTGGGTCTCTATGGGAGTCTATAGGAGTCTGTGGGCCTCTATGGGAGTCTGTGGGTCTGTCTCTATAGGAGTCTGTGGGAGTCTGTGGGTCTCTATGGGAGTCTGTGGGTCTCTATAGGAGTCTGTGGGTCTCTATGGGAGTCTGTGGGTCTCTATGGGAGTCTGTGGATCTCTATGGGAGTCTGTGGGTCTCTATGGGAGTCTATGGGTCTCTATAGGAGTCTGTGGGTTTCTATGGGAGTCTGTGGGTCTCTATGGGAGTCTGTGGGTCTCTATAGGAGTCTATGGGTCTCTATGGGAGTCTGTGGGTCTCTATAGGAGTCTGTGGGTTTCTATGGGAGTCTGTGGGTCTCTATGGGAGTCTGTGGGTCTCTATGGGAGTCTATGGGTCTGCCTCTATGGGAGTCTGTGGGTCTCTATGGGAGTCTGTGGGTCTCTATGGGAGTCTGTGGGTCTCTATAGGAGTCTGTGGGTCTCTATGGGAGTCTATGGGTCTCTATGGGAGTCTGTGGGTCTCTATGGGAGTCTATGGGTCTGCCTCTATGGGAGTCTGTGGATCTCTATAGGAGTCTGTGCGTCTCTATGGGAGTCTATGGGTCTCTATGGGAGTCTGTGGGTCTCTATGGGAGTCTGTGGGTCACTGTGGGAGTCTGTGGGTCTCTATGGGAGTCTGTGGGTCTCTATGGGAGTCTATGGGTCTCTATGGGAGTCTGTGGGTCTCTATGGGAGTCTGTGGGTCTCTATGGGAGTCTATGGGTCTCTATAGGAGTCTGTGGGTCTCTATGGGAGTCTGTGTGTCTCTATAGGAGTCTGTGGGTCTCTATAGGAGTCTGTGGGTCTCTATAGGAATCTATGGGTCTCTATGGGAGTCTATGGGTCTGTCTCTATGGGAGTCTGTGGGTCTCTATGGGAGTCTGTGGGTCTCTATAGGAGTATGTGGGTCTCTATAGGAGTCTATGGGTCTCTATGGGAGTCTATGGGTCTCTATGGGAGTCTGTGGGTCTCTATGGGAGTCTATGGGTCTCTATGGGAGTCTGTGGGTCTCTATGGGAGTCTGTGGGTCTCTATGGGAGTCTGTGGGTCTCTATGGGAGTCTATGGGTCTGTCTCTATGGGAGTCTGTGGGTCTCTATGGGAGTCTGTGGGTCTCTATGGGAGTCTATGGGTCTGTCTCTATGGGAGTCTGTGGGTCTCTATGGGAGTCTGTGGGTCTCTATGGGAGTCTATGGGTCTGTCTCTATGGGAGTCTGTGGGTCTCTATGGAAGTCTATGGGTCTCTATGGGAGTCTGTGGGTCTATAAGGGAGTCTATGGGTCTCTATAGGGTCTATGGGTCTCTATGGGAGTCTGTGGGTCTCTATGGGAGTCTATAGGAGTCTGTGGGTCTGTCTCTATGGGAGTATGTGGGTCTGTCTCTATGGGAGTCTGTGGGTCTCTATGGGAGTCTGTGGGTCTCTATGCGACTGCATGAGTCTGCTACCTTGATGAAGGAGTACAGCGTCTCTCCGAAGAAGCGCTTGAACTCGAAGCGGATGTCCAGCATGTCGACCTCGCATCGCGACACCATGACCCTGACCAGGGTCGCGTCGTCCGTGCCCAGGCCCTGCCAGAACAACCATGCAGCCACACACACATAGCCACACACAGCCACACACACACATAGCCACACACAGCCACACACACACACACAGCCACACACACACACAGCCACACACAGCCACACACAGCCACACACAGCCACACACACACACGTGGCCACTCACACACACAGCCACACACACACACAGCCACACACACACACGCGGCCACACACACACACACACACAGCCACACACACACACACACGCGGCCACACACACACAACCACACACACAGCCACGAACACACACGCGGCCACACACACACAGCCACACACACACAATCACACACACACACAGCCACACACACACATAGCCACACACACGCGGCCACACACACACACACATAGCCACACACACACGTAGCCACACACACACGTAGCCACACACACACATACAGCCACACACACAGAGACACACACGTAGCCACACACACACATAGCCACACACACACACACAGCCACACACACAGAGACACAGCCACACACACATAGCCACACACACACATAGCCACACACATAGCCACACACACATACAGCCACACACACAGAGACACACACACACATAGCCACACACACACAAATAGCCACACACACACATACAGCCACACACACACAGAGACACACACACGCATAGCCACACACACACATAGCCACACACACACATACAGCCACACACACACATACAGCCACACACACAGAGACACACGTAGCCACACTTGCTGTGCACACAAGCTCACGCCAAATGCAAATTGTAACTCTGACCCAGATATTATCCCTCAATTGGCCCCCAACTCCAAAGCCAAACGTGACCCCGAACCCTGACCGTGACCCTTGACCCAGGCGGTGACATAATGACCGGGCGGTAGCGCGTTTGCCCGCTGGTTGCAGAGGTTCGCGGTTCGACCCCGCGCGGCCGCCCTGGTTAATACCGCGGAGTGCGTTAACCGTAACCTACCAATACCACACAGCCCGTCTGCTTCACTCACAGCGGACGTTAAAGATCCGGTGACGTCACGGACCACGTGTTACAATGTACTCCGATGTCCACGACCCTCCTGAACAAGAGCCTTGAGACTCAGTGAGGCTGTCCCAGGGAGATGAGCGTGGTTATAATTGTTTAACACGTCGGCGTTTGGGTTAGATCGCGTAAATATATAAATGTGTCGTTAAAACCCGCCACCACCCGACACAGCCGACTAGTAAGGGTTGTCACGTAAATGGAGCGTTGCCAATTCGTCACTAGCACAGCACACCGGTGTGTTGGAGAGCGAAGCGGTGTTTATAATCATTAAAGTGGTAATGCACGGAATCCACTTACGTCCTGAACACACGAAATAGCACCCCACACACCGTGCATATCACACCATGCACCCACACGCCCCACCGAATGAACACCACACAGCCCACGCCACGCCAAACACGTCAAACCATGCACACCACACACCCCACCCCATGCAGACCACACACATCACACCATACACCCAACCAAACCACACCACCCACACCATGCACACCACACCATGCATACCATAGCGACACACGCCCACAGCCACACATACATAGTCACACACACACACGTACACACAGCCACGCAGAGCCACACACACAGGCGCACACACACAAGCCACGCATACGCGCACACACGCACAGGCATAGCCACATACAACCGCACAGATGCAAGGCACACACACAGCCACACACACACAGCCACACATACACACACAGCCACACACACACACAGCCACACACAGACACACACACAGCCACACACACACACACACAGCCACACACACACACAGCCACACACAGACACACACACACAGACACACACACAGCCACACACAGACACACACACAGACACACACACACAGCCACACACACACACACAGCCACACACACACACAGCCACACACAGCCACACACAGACACACACACACACAGACACACACACACAGACACACACACACAGACACACACACAGCCACACACAGACACACACACACACACAGACACATACACACACAGCCACACACAGACACACACACACAGACACACACACACAGCCACACACAGACACACACACGCACTTGCTGTGCACACAATCTCACAGCCAAATACAAATTGTGACCCTGACCCGAACATGAACCCTCAATTTGCCCCCAACTACAAACCCAAACGTGACCCCGAACTCTAACCCTGACCCTTGACCCAGGCAGTGTCATAACGACCGGGCGGTAGCGCGTTTGCCCGCTGGTTGCAGAGGTTCACGGTTCAACCGCGGCCGGCCGCCCTGGTTAATACCGCGGAGTGCGTTAACCGTAACCTACCAAAACCACACAGCCCGCGTGCTTCACTCACAGCGGACGTTAAAGATCCCGTGACGTCACGGACCACGTGTTACAATGTACTCCGATGTCCACGACGGGGAAAAAGTTAGCACGACCCTCCTGAACAAGAGCCCTGAGCCTCAGCGAGGCTGTCCCGGGGAGATGAGCGTGGTTATAATTGAAGTGGCCATGGTTGGAATCCACTTACGTCCTGAACACACGAAATACCACCCCCCACGCACCCCACGCACACCCCACCCCACGCACACCACACAACCACACCCCACGCACACCACACAACCACACCCCACGCACCCCACACAACCACACCCCACACACCCCACACAACCACACCCCACACAACCACACCCCACGCACACCACACACCACCCCCCATGCACCCCACACAACCACACCCCCCATGCACCCCACACACCGCACCCCACACACCCCACACAACCACACCCCACACAACCACACCCCACGCACCCCACGCACACCACACACCGCATGCCACCCAAATCACCCCACCCATACCATATCCCACCACACCGCCATGTACACCGGATACCACGCACACCGCACGCCACACCATGCGTACCGCACCACGCGCATCACGCCCCACGCACACCACGCATGCAACGCCATGCACACCACGCACACCATGCATGCAACGCCATGCACACCATGCACACCACGCACACCATGCATGCACACCACGCACACCACGCAGCGGATTAGTGGTGGTGCCACACTCGGCCGCACTCTCCGGATGAGGGTGATGGCCGATGCGACGCCCCAGGGGTCACACACAGCGACACGACGCCCCAGGGGTCACACACAGCGACACGACGCCCCAGGGGTCACACACAGCGACACGACGCCCCAGGGGTCACACACAGCGACACGACGCCCCAGGGGTCACACACAGCGACACGACGCCCCAGGGGTCACACACAGCGACACGACGCCCCAGGGGTCACACACAGCGACACGACGCCCCAGGGGTCACACACAGCGACACGACGCCCCACCCCCCCCACTCCCCCTCACCCCTGGGGGTTGAGAGAGCAGGGAGCACTGAGGCCACGCTGCTGCTGGGCCAATCTGAATCCACGCATCTGTCACTTTGATTTTCATTTCACCTGGTGAGGCCCTACCAGGTGAGGCCCTACCAGGTGAGGCCCTACCAGGTGAGGCCCTACCAGGTGAGGCCCTACCAGGTGAGGCCCACTAGGTGAGGCCCACTAGGTGAGGCCCACCAAGTGAGGCCCTACCAGGTGAGGCCCTACCAGGTGAGGCCCACCAAGTGAGGCCCTACCAGGTGAGGCCCTACCAGGTGAGGCCCACCAGGTGAGGCCCTACCAGGTGAGGCCCACCAGGTGAGGCCCTACCAGGTGAGGCCCTACCAGGTGAGGCCCACCAAGTGAGGCCCTACTAGGTGAGGCCCACCAGTTGAGGCCCACCAGGTGAGGCCCTACCAGGTGAGACCCCACCAGGTGAGGCCTCACCAGGTGAGGCCCTACCAGGTGAGGTCCACCAGGTGAGGCCCTACCAGGTGAGGCCCTACCAGGTGAGGCCCTACCAGGTGAAGCCCTACCAGGTGAGGCCCTACCAGGTGAGGCCCACTGAGCTGTACAGCTGTTCGTCCAGCAGCGACCTGGCTGTCACAAACGACGGCTCAACGGAGTGGGCTCATCGCATGGAAATGTACACCGGCCAAATAACTCAACGCGTGGTGACGTTGAGTCTGGATGTGGAGGGGGGAAACACCGCAGGACCCGGAGGGAAATCCACGCGACCACAGAGCAGCAGGTGTCAGAGGTCGGCATCGAACCCACGACCTCCTGTATACCAGGCGAGGTAGTTAATATCTCATAGCCAACGTGGTGATGATGATGAGAGAGACACGCAAACTCCAAATATACAGCAGCAGGCGTCAGGATCGGGATCGAACCCACGACCTCCTGTACACGAGGCGAGGTAGTTAACATCTCCTAGCCACCGGAAAAGTCCCCCCCCCCACCACCTCCCGGCACACCACATCAAGAGCACAAGCAAGCCCTGAACTCCCCTCCAGCAGCCAAATTACACGCTCCTCACCTTCATGGCCTTGTAGAGGCGCTCCGCAAAGAAGGCCGGCTTGTCCAGAATGCACTTCACTGTGAGAGGGGGGACAGCGAGAGACAGAAATGTTGTTAAATATTTCATTTAAAAAGGGAGCGGGGGGGGGTTTACATAAATCAAAGCATTGAAAAAACCGAATGATGAACGAAGCAAAGTGCCGACTACACCGAGCATCGTCTTGTTGACTCGGATCGTAAAATAAAAGAGATAGGGGGAGAGGGGGGGAGAGGAGGGAGGGGAGGGAGGGGAGGGAGAGGAGGGAGATAGGGGGCAGGGGGAGAGAGGGAGGGGAGGGAGGGGAGGGAGAGGAGGGAGGGGAGGGAGGGGAGGGAGAGGAGGGAGATAGGGGGCAGGGGGAGAGAGGGAGGGGAGGGAGGGGAGGGAGAGGAGGGAGGGGAGGGAGACACGGAGATACATGATGCACACTCTTCCCCAATCGTCATCGTCACCATGGTCGATCCACTGCCGGTTGAAGGCCTCCCCAAGCCGCTGCCACCTCTCATGATCCAGCGATGTAACGATCCACCCAGCACCTACCCCTACACCCCTACACCCCTATACACCTACCCCTATACACCTATACCCCTATACACCTATACCCCCTATACACCTACCCCTATACACCTATCCTCTACCCCTATACCTCTACACCCCCTATACACCTACCCCTATACACCTACCCTCTACCCCTATACCCCTACACCCCTTATACACCTACCCCTATACACCTACCCCTATACACCTACCCCTATACACCTATACCCCTATACACCTATACCCCCTATACACCTACCCCTATACACCTACCCTCTACCCCTATACCTCTACACCCCCTATACACCTACCCCTATATACCTACCCTCTACCCCTATACCCCAACACCCCCTATACACCTACCCCTATACACCTACCCCTATACACCTACCCCTATACACCTACCCCTATACACCTATACCCCTACACCTCCTATATACCTACCCTATACACCTACCCTCTACCCCTATACCCCTACACCCCCTATACACCTACCCCTATACACCTACCCCTATACACCTATACCCCTACACCTCCTATACACCTACCCCTATACACCTACCCTCTACCCCTATACCCCTACACTCCCTATACACCTACCCCAATACACCTACCCCTATACACCTACCCTCTACCCCTATACCCCTACACCCCCTATACACCTACCCCTATATACCTACCCCTATACACCTACCCTCTACCCCTATACCCCTTATACACCTACCCCTATACACCTACCCCTATACACATAGCCCTATACACCTAGCCCTATACACCTACCCTCTACCCCTATACGTCTACACTCCCTATACACCTACCCCTATACACCTATACCCCTACACCCCCTATACACCTACCCCTATACAGCTACCCCTATACACCTATACCCCTACACCCCCTATGCACCTACTCCTACACCCCCTATACACCTACCCCTATACCCCTACACCCCCTATACATCTACCCCTACACCCCCTATACCCCTACACCCCCTATACACCTACCCCTATACCCCTATACCCCTACACCCCCTATACACCTACCCCTACACCCCCTATACACCTACACCCCTATACACCTATACCCCTATACACCTATACCCCCTATACACCTACCCCTATACACCTACCCTATACCTCTACACCCCCTATACCTCTACACCCCCTATACACCTACCCTCTACCCCTATACCCCTACACCCCCTATACACCTACCCCTATACACCTACCCCTATACACCTACCCCTATACACCTATACCCCTACACCCCCTATACCCCTACACCCCCTATACACCTACCCCTATACACCTACCCCTATACACCTACCCCTATACACCTACCCCTATACACCTATACCCCTACACCTCCTATACACCTACCCCTATACACCTACCCTCTACCCCTATACCCCTACACTCCCTATACACCTACCCCTATACACCTGCCCCTATACACCTACCCCTATACACCTACCCTCTACCCCTATACCCCTACACTCCCTATACACCTACCCCTATACACCTGCCCCTATACACCTACCCCTATACACCTACCCTCTACCCCTATACCCCTACACTCCCTATACACCTACCCCTATACACCTGCCCCTATACACCTACCCCTATACACCTACCCTCTACCCCTATACCCCTTATACACCTACCCCTATACACCTACCCCTATACACCTAGCCCTATACACCTAGCCCTATACACCTAGCCCTATACACCGACCCTCTACCCCTATACGTCTACACTCCCTATACACCTACCCCTATACACCTATACCCCTACACCCCCTATACACCTACCCCTACACCCCCTATGCACCTACCCCTATGCACCTACCCCTAGACACCTACCCCTATACACCTACCCCTACACCCCCTATACACCTATACCCCTACACCTCCTATACCCCCTATACCCCCCCCCCCCCCACCGTACCGATGGCAAGGAGGACGTCCTCGAAGTCCCCGGAGGTCTCACTGCGGATGCTCTCAATGATCGACTTCCCAGCCACGTCCTTGTAGATCTCAAACACTGCGACACCCGGAGGCGGGGTGCAGAATGGGACGCGGGGGAGATGGGAGGGGTTACAGGGGGAGGGGTTACAGGGGGAGGGGTTACAGGGGAGGGGTTACAGGGGGAGGGGTTACAGGGGGAGGGGTCGTGGGGGGGGAGGGGTCGTGAGGGAGGGGTCGTGGGGGGGGAGGGGTCGTGGGGAGGGGTCGTGGGGGGGGAGGGGGTCGTGAGGGAGGGGTCGTGGGGGAAGGGTCGTGGGTGGGAGGGGTCGTGGGTGGGAGGGGTCGTGGGGGGGAGGGGTCGTGGGGGAGGGGTCGTGGGGGGAGGGGTCGTGGGGGAGGGGTCGTGGGGGAGGGGTCGTGGGTGGGAGGGGTCGTGGGTGGGAGGGGTCGTGGGGGGGAGGGGTCGTGGGGGAGGGGTCGTGGGGGGAGGGGTCGTGGGGGAGGGGTCGTGGGGGAGGGGTCGTGGGGGAGGGGAGGGGTCGTAGTCGCGGGGGGTGTGAGGTGTGGAGTGGCCACCTCTTTTGAGGTGTGCGTGACTGCGGGAGCACAGGATCATGATGAAGGTTGACTCGTCCGTACCCAGTTTGTCCTCCCCGGCCAGGTACAGTCCCTGCCAAGGTCACGGGGTCATTCGGGCACGGGGGTTCAAACGTCAAGTGGATGTGCTGCTGATGTTACTGCTGCTGATGATGATGCTGCTGCTAATGCTGATGATGATGCTGCTGCTGATGCTGCCGCTGCTGCTGATGTTACTGCTAATGATGATGATGCTGCTGCTGCTGTTGATGATGGTGCTGCTGCTGCTGCTGATGATGCTGCTGCTGATGATGGTAGCCAATGATGACCGACCTCTGCGTCTTGGCTTGCGAGTTCCTCGTCCACGTCGTCCCCCTCGTCTCTGTTCGCCTGCGATTCACATCGTCATCATCATCGCCATCATCATTGTCATCATCATCGTCATAATCATCGTCATGCTCATCATCATCATGATCGTCGTCGTCGTCGTTATCATCGTCATGCTCGTCATCATCGTCATCATCATCATGCTCGTCATCATCGTCATGATCGTCGTCGTCATCATCGTCATGCTCGTCATCATCGTCATGATCGTCATCATCGTCATCATCCTCCCTCGCAGGCTGAAGGCGCAGCCCCGCCGCGAGTGTTCGCCCCAGGAGTCGCTGCCGGCGGTAACGGCCCTCCCGCCACAGAGGCCGCTACGGCGTGGCCACTCGGCCGACTCTCCCGAGCCAGCAACGTCTCGGGTGAGAGGCGGGAGTGACCCCCACTTCACCACCACCCACCACTAGCGGGGGTGGTTGAACCCATTGACACTGGGGGGGGGGGGGGGGGGGCTGTAATAAACTCGCCGGGCTGGGAGAGACGACATCGAACCCGTGCAGGGTGGCGAGTCGAATCCGTGTGCTGCTGACCGTCACCTGCCCCTCCCACCCCCCTCCGTGCGCTGAATCCTCCTCCGTGAGAGGTCATCGCCGGCGTCGCACGAGCCAGGGGTCGTCGGCAGCCTGCGGCCCTGTGACTGACCCCCCACCCCCACCCCAACCCCCACCCCCCCACGTCTTTGCGAGCGGCCAAAGACGCAAATCTTGAACGTCATTTTTGACGTGAACGGTAACATGAGAGATTAAGCATGGCAGGGAATTGGGGGGGGGAGGGGGGGGGGTCACGATGGAGTGACACAATGTACGACAGTTAAACTTGTACTTGTTGAAGAATAACTAAGCGGTGGAGAGGGGAGGGGGGATTAACTAAATAGACGCAGTTTATTGTTTGTTTAAGTCCAGGACGTGTTTGGCATCTGCCGTGTTTTGGGTACAAGGAGCTCAGCGTGTGGTGCGGCTCTCGAAATATTTTTTTTTGTAAAAGACAAAAAGACAATCGCTCATCTTCCTCTTCCATACCATTTGGTTCTTTCGGTAAAGTCACGTAGGTAGAAAATAAAGAACATGAAACAAAAATGAAAACAACTAAATTAAATCGCGACGCTTCGGAGGCAACGCAAGCTTCCTTCCGAAACGTCGTGATCACCACCGTCAACATCACCATCGTCGTCAACATCACCACCGTCAACATCACCATCGTCAACATCACCACCGTCAACATCACCACCATCATCAACATCACCACCGTCAACATCACCACCGTCAACATCACCACCGTCAACATCACCACCGTCAACATCACCACCACCGTCAATATCGTCACCGTCAATATCGTCACCGTCAACATCACCATCGTCAACATCACCACCGTCAACATCACCACCGTCAACATCACCACCGTCAACATCACCACCGTTAACATCACCATCATCGTCAAAATCACCATCAACATCATCGTCAACATCACCACCGTCAACATCACCACCGTCAACATCATCGTCAACATCACCACCGTCAACATCACCACCATCAACATCATCGTCAACATCACCACCGTCAACATCACCACCGTCAACATCACCACCGTCAACATCACCACCGTCAACATCACCACCGTCAACATCACCACCGTCAACATCACCACCGTCAACATCACCACCGTCAACATCACCATCGTCAACATCACCACCGTCAACATCACCACCGTCAACATCACCACCGTCAACATCACCACCGTCAACATCACCATCGTCAACATCACCACCGTCAACATCAGCACCGTCAACATCACCACCGTCAACATCACCACCGTCAACATCACCACCGTCAACATCACCACCGTCAACATCACAATCGTCAACATCACCACCGTCAACATCACCACCGTCAACATCACCACCGTCAACATCACCACCGTCAACATCACCACCGTCAACATCACCACCGTCAACATCACCACCGTCAACATCACCACCGTCAAAATCACCACCGTCAACATCACCACCGTCAACATCATCACCGTCAACATCACCACCGTCAACATCACCATCGTCAACATCATCACAGTCGACATCACCACCGTCGACATCACCATCGTCAACATCACCACCGTCAACATCACCATCGTCAACATCACCACCGTCAACATCACCACCGTCAACATCACCACCGTCAACATCACCACCGTCAACATCACCACCGTCATCATCACCACCGTCAACATCACCACCGTCAACATCACCACCGTCAACATCATCACCGTCAACATCACCACCGTCAACATCACCATCGTCAACATCATCACAGTCAACATCACCACCGTCGACATCACCACCGTCAACATCACCATCGTCAACATCACCACCGTCAACATCACCACCGTCAATATCACCACCGTCAACATCACCACCGTCAACATCATCATCGTCAACATCGTCATCGTCAACATCACCACCGTCAACATCACCACCGTCAACATCACCACCGTCAACATCACCATCGTCAACATCACAATCGTCAACATCACCATCTTGCCGATGTGTTTGCTCCGACTCGGTGTGCTGGACCATAGTATTTAATTTTGTTTTCTACCTACGTGATGACTTTACCGAGAGAACCAAAGAGTACGGATTCCTGCCGTCACCAAAGCTTCAAATCAACATTCATCATCATCATCTTCTTCTTCGAATAATATTGGTCGCGAAAGCCTACGTGTTAAACTTCTTCTTTGACAAGTTTGCCGACGCGATCTTCGAGACAAACCAATGCCCTCCGCTTACACGCAGACAAGGGGGGATCCCACGTGTCGCATTAACAGACTGTTGGGGTAAATGCTGTTCGCGAGTAGCGCCTATGAAGGCCGGCACAGCACGAGAGGGACGTGGGTGGCCAGCAACCATGCCCGGCCGCCTTTGTCTCCCTCGTGGTGATCTTTACACACCCGCACTAGGCGACTCAAATTTGAGTGCACCTAGGGGAGGCCCAGAATCCGTTCGGACAATGATCGCCACTGGTGTTGGTGGCCATGAGCGGGAATCGAAGGAACTCGGGTCGCCGGATTCATAGCCCGGCAAGAAGGACGACACTACTGCTCGCCACGCGTAAGTACACACACACACACACGTGCACGCTGTGTGAGTCTATGGGTCTCTGTGTGAGTCTATGGGTCTCTGTGTGAGCTGATGGGTCTCTGTGCGAGTCTATGGCTCTCTGTGCGAGTCTATGGGTCTCTGTGTGAGTCTATGGCTCTCTGTGTGAGTCTATGGGTCTCTGTGTGAGCTGATGGGTCCCTGTGCGAGTCTATGGCTCTCTGTGTGAGTCTATGGGTCTCTGTATGAGTCTATGGGTCTCTGTGCGAGTCTATGGGTCTCTGTGTGAGTCTATGGGTCTCTGTGTGAGTCTATGGCTCTCTGTGCGAGTCTATGGGTCTCTGTGCGAGCTGATGGGTCTCTGTATGGGTCTCTGTATGGGTCTCTGTGTGAGTCCGTGAGTCTCTGTGAGTCTATGGGTCTCTGTGTGAGTCTATGGGTCTCTGTGTGAGTCTATGGCTCTCTGTATGAGTCTATGGCTCTCTGTGTGAGTCTATGGGTCTCTGTGCGAACCGATGGGTCTCTGTGTGGTGAGTCCATCGACCACGACGTGAGTCTCGGTGGTTGGGACTGAAACCCGGATTCGAACGAATGGATCTCAGGGCTGCCAGCTCTGCATCTCTCTTCTAACGTCAGCTTACCGTGAGTGGGGAGACCAGGGCTAACGTCAGCTTACCGTGAGTGGGGAGACCAGGGCTAACGTCAGCTTACCGTGAGTGGGGAGACCAGGGCTAACGTCAGCTTACCGTGAGTGGGGAGACCAGGGCTGATGTCAGCTTACCGTGAGTAGGGAGACCAGGGCTGATGTCAGCTTACCGTGAGTAGGGAGACCAGGACTGATGTCAGCTTACCGTGAGTAGGGAGACCAGGACTCTCTGGAAGAGCCCCGATGTTTCCCCCATGATGTCTTCCTCCAGGGACGAGCCGTACTCTGGACGTGCCAAAACCACGCGGACAAGGGTGACGAGACGCGTGTTGGTTACCGCGCCTCCGGGTTCCAGGGCTAGCAGGTCCCCGAGACATCCGGGACCCAGTCCCCGTCATCGGCGAGTGCCTCCGGCAGCCGAGGCTGCTGGGTCGTGCAGCTCGCGTGCCCGGACCCCCGCACGCCCGAGCAGCTTCCGTTTGGCACGGATTAGAGGGGGCAGCTAGACGGGAGCGACACGTGCTGGAGAAGAGATGGGGCTGATGCGGTACAGGGAGAGGACGTGGAGCTGAGCGGGCTTGACGGTTTGTCAAGCACGCTCAGCTCCAGTGTCAAGATCGGCCTCCGTGGAGGATGAGGCTCGCGGAGGACGCTGCTGCTGCTGCTGGGCAGTTGGAGGCAGTCGCCCTCCAGCAACAGCGCTGGGCAGAGAAGCGACGCTCGCAACGACGAGCGGAGCGCCGGGCAGATAAAACGCAGAGAGGTTGGCACAGTGGGGTACATAGGTGGCGCAGCTACCAGTCGTCTCAGTTCACCAATAGCACCTAGCTATGTCCCGTGACCTCCTGCACCTAGCCTGGCACAGGCGGTGCATCTGCAAGTGAAGGGGTGGAGCCGTCCCCACCATCACCTCGCTGGTAAGCGGCGCAGAGCTCCAACATCTCCGCGTTGTTCCTTGAGGCCAGGATCTCAATGAGGCACTTCTCATCCGTGCCAGCTCCCTGCGTGCACGCGCACGCACACACGCACGCACACACACGCACGCACGCACGCACACATGCACACGCACGCATACACAGACACACACGTACACACACACGCACGCACACACGCACGCACGCACGCGCACGCATACACAGACACACACGTACACACACGTGCACGCACACGCGCACGCACACACGCATACACAGACACACACGTACACACACGTGCATGCACGCACACGCACACATACACACGTGCACGCGCACATACACACGCGTGCGCACATATGCACGCACACACGGACACAGTTTCACACACACGGACACAGTTTCACACACACGTGCACGCACACACACAAACACACACGCACATACACGTGCACGCACACACAGACACACACGTACACACACGTGCACGCAAATACAGACACACACGTTTACGTACATACAGACACACATGTGCACATACATGCACACACACACACACAGACACACACGTGCACACACGTGCACAAACACACACGTGCACACATATGCACGCACACACAAAGACACACACGTGCACACACGCGCACACACATGCACGCACACACACACAGACACACCCGTAAACACACGTGCACGCACACACACAGACACACCCGTACACACACATGCACGCAGACACAGACACAGGTTCACACACACGTGCACGCACACACACAAACACACACGCACATCCACGTGCACGCACACACAGACACACACGTACACACACGTGCACGCAAATACAGACACACACGTTTACGCACATACAGACACACGTGCACACGTACACACGCGCACACACACACACACGCACACACATACAGACACGTACACACACGTTCACGCACAGACACACACGCGCACATGCATGCACGCACACACACACACACAGACACACGCGTACACACAGTGAGTACACAAACACACACACACGCACACACGCGCCCCCCACCCAACACGCCACACTCCCCTCCCCACCTCAGCTCCCTCCCAGAGCCCCCCCTCGCCTGTCTCATCATCCAAGGCAGCCCCCTACACACCACGCGCACAAAGACAAAGGTCCCACCGTGTAGCCTTCGCAGACTGCTGGGGCAAGTGCTGTTCGCGAGCGGCACCTACGGGAAGTCCGGAGCGGCGCACGAGGTGGGTGGGTGGCCAGCACCACGCCCGGCCGCCTTTGTCTCCCCGGTAGCTCCCCACTCACAACACCCCCCCCCCCGCCCCGACTCACCCGCATGGCCCCCTTGAGCTGCTTGGCAGCGTAGACGAGCGGGGGGTCAAACAGCGCCACGATCAGCGTCTCGAACCAGCCCGAGAGCTCCGACTTGAGGTCGGACAGCAGGTCCTGGACGTCGCAACGCACACACACGCACACACGTACACACACACACACGTACACGTACACACACACATGCACACACACACACACGTACACACACACACACACGTGCACACACACGCACACACGTACACACACACACACGCACACACGTACACACACACACGTACACACACACGCACACACGTACACACACACACGCACACACGTACACACACACACGTACACACACACACACACGCACACACACACGTACACACACGTACACACACACGTACACACACACACACACGTACACACACACATGCACACACACGTACACGTACACACACACACACGCACACACACACACGCACACACACACGTACACACACGTACACACACACACACACGTACACACACACGTACACACACACACACACGCACACACACACGTACACACACGTACACACACACGTACACACACACACACACGTACACGCGCACACACACACACGTACACACACACACGCGCACACACACACACACACGCGCACACACACACACACACACGTACACGCACACGTACACACACACACACACGTACACACACGCACACACACACACACACGTACACACACACACACGTACACACACACACACACGTACACACACACACACACGTACACACACACATGCACACACACACACACACGTACACACACGTGCACGCAAATACAGACACACACACGCGGACACACACACACACGTGCACGCACACACACAAACACACACGCACATCCACGTGCACGCACACACAGACACACACGTACACACACGTGCACGCAAATACAGACACACACGTTTACGCACATACAGACACACACGTGCACACACATGCACGCACACACACACACGTGCACACACATGCACGTACACACACACGTGCGCGCACATACAGACACACACGTACACACACGTTCACGCACAGACACACACGTGCACATGCATGCACGCACACGCACACATACACACAGACACACGCGTACACACAGTGAGTCAACCGCAGAGCTTGTGCCAGGCTAGGTGCACGAGGTCACGGGGACAGACCCAGGTGCTGTTGGTTGACTGCTGTGCCAGGCTAGGTGCACGAGGTCTCGGGGACACACCCAGGTGGTATTGATTGACTGCTGTGCCAGGCTAGGTGCACGAGGTCACGGGGACAGACCCAGGTGCTGTTGGTTGACTGCTGTGCCAGGCTAGGTGCACGAGGTCACGGGGACAGACCCAGGTGCTGTTGGTTGACTGCTGTGCCAGGCTAGGTGCACGAGGTCTCGGGGACACACGCAGGTGCTGTTGGTTGACTGCTGTGCCAGGCTAGGTGCACGAGGTCACGGGGACACACCCAGGTGGTATTGATTGACTGCTGTGCCAGGCTAGGTGCACGAGGTCACGGGGACAGACCCAGGTGCTGTTGGTTGACTGCTGTGCCAGGCTAGGTGCACGAGGTCACGGGGACAGACCCAGGTGCTGTTGGTTGACTGCTGTGCCAGGCTAGGTGCACGAGGTCACGGGGACAGACCCAGGTGCTGTTGGTTGACTGCTGTGCCAGGCTAGGTGCACGAGGTCACGGGGACAGACCCAGGTGCTGTTGGTTGACTGCTGTGCCAGGCTAGGTGCACGAGGTCACGGGGACAGACCCAGGTGCTGTTGGTTGACTGCTGTGCCAGGCTAGGTGCACGAGGTCTCGGGGACACACGCAGGTGCTGTTGGTTGACTGCTGTGCCAGGCTAGGTGCACAAGGTCACGGGGACACACCCAGGTGCTGTTGGTTGACTGCTGTGCCAGGCTAGGTGCACGAGGTCACGGGGACAGACCCAGGTGCTGTTGGTTGACTGCTGTGCCAGGCTAGGTGCAGGAGGTCACGGGGACAGACCCAGGTGCTGTTGGTTGACTGCTGTGCCAGGCTAGGTGCACGAGGTCACGGGGACAGACCCAGGTGCTGTTGGTTGACTGCTGTGCCAGGCTAGGTGGACGAGGTCACGGGGACAGACCCAGGTGGTATTAGTTGACTGCTGTGCCAGGCTAGGTGCACGAGGTCACGGGGACAGACCCAGGTGCTGTTGGTTGACTGCTGTGCCAGGCTAGGTGCACGAGGTCACGGGGACACACCCAGGTGGTATTGATTGACTGCTGTGCCAGGCTAGGTGCACGAGGTCACGGGGGACAGACCCAGGTGCTGTTGGTTGACTGCTGTGCCAGGCTAGGTGCACGAGGCCCAGGCACCCCCTGTGCTTTCCACTGCGCGAAAACTCGCTGCGTTGTAATCGCCCGTGAGGGTCGCTCACACATTCACACAAAGACACAGCTGCCCCGTGTAGCCTTCAACAGACCCTTGGGGCAAGTGCCGTCAGCGAGTAGCAACTATCAAGGCCGGCAGGGTACGCTGGGCGGTGAGTGGCCAGCACCGTTCCCGGCCGCCTTTGTCTCCCCGGTGATGATGTTTACACTCTGCACCAGACACAGGCCTGGGACCGAGTTCAGATAATCGTCACCGATCTTGGCCGTGAGCGGGAATCAAACTCGGGCACCCAGGAACCTCGAATAACAAAAAAACACGAGGGACATCACCACTCAAAGCCCCACACAGATGGATTCACGAATTCTGATAGCACCCTCATTCTCCTCACCCCCCCCCCATCCTTCACCACCTCACCCTGCTCACCCTCACGCCTCACCTCTTCACTCTCACGCCTCATCTCGCTCACCACCACGATAACGCCTCACCCCTCACCCTGCTCACCCGGCTAACACTCACCCACTCACCACTCACCATACCCATCCTCACCCAACTCACCCTCATCTCCACCCCTCACCATGCTCACCCTTACGCCCCTCACCCCCCTTGCCCCACTTACCGTCACCCCACTTAACCCTCACTACATCACCCCTCACCTTCCTCACCCCGCTCACCCTCACCCCTGACCCCTCACCCCACTCCCCCTCCCTACATTCACCCCCCACCCAGCTCACCCTCACCCCTGACCCCTCACCCAGCTCACCCTCACTACATTCACCCCTCACCCCGCTCACCCTCACCCCTGACCCCTCACCCCACTCCCCCTCACCCCACTCCCCACCTCGCCCTCACCACATTCACCCCTCACCCAGCTCACCCTCACCCCACTCCCCACCTCGCCCTCACCACATTCACCCCTCACCCAGCTCACCCTCACCCCACTCCCCACCTCGCCCTCACCACATTCACTCGACTTCCTCACCTCGCTCTCTCGCACCCTCACGCCTCGCTCCTGACACCCCCCTCCCCTCCCCTCCTCCCTCCTACCCCTCCCCCTCATCCCCTCCTACCCTTCCTCCCCTCCTCCCCCTCCTCTCCCTCCTCCCCCCTCATCCCCTCCCCCCTCCACCCCTACCCCCTCCACCCCTCCCCTCCTGCTCCTCCCCCCTTCTCCCCTCCTACCCCTCCCCCTCCTTCCTCCCCCTCCACCCCTCCCCCCTCCCCCTCCCCCCTCACCTTGCCGTAGAGAGTCTTGAACACCACTGCCACCTGCTGCCGCTGGGCGTTGGAGCGGTGCGTCACCACGTCGATGATCGCCTGCTCGTCCGTGCCTGTGGGGGGGGGGGGGCACGGGGTGGGGGGCACGGGGTGGGGGCACGGGATGGGGGGTGGGGGCACGGGGTGGGGGCACGGGGTGGGGGTACGGGGTGAGGGGCACGGGGGTGGGATCACGGGGTGGGGGGTCACGGGGTGGGGGCACGGGGTGGGGGGCACGGGGTGGGTGGGGGCACGGGGTGAGGGGCACGGGGTGGGTGGGGGCACGGGGTGAGGGGCACGGGGGTGGGATCACGGGGTGGGGGGCACGGGGTGGGGGCACGGGGGTGGGGGGCACGGGGTGGGGGCACGGGGTGGGGGTCACGGGGTGGGGGCACGGGGTGGGGGGCACGGGGTGGGTGGGGGCACGGGGTGAGGGGCACGGGGTGGGTGGGGGCACGGGGTGAGGGGCACGGGGGTGGGATCACGGGGTGGGGGGCACGGGGTGGGGGCACGGGGTGGGGGGCACGGGGTGGGGGCACGGGGTGGGGGTCACGGGGTGGGGGCACGGGGTGGGGGGCACGGGGTGGGTGGGGGTACGGGGTGAGGGGCACGGGGTGGGTGGGATCACGGGGTGGGGGGCACGGGGTGGGGGCACGGGGTGGGGGGCACGGGGTGGGGGGCACGAGGTGGGGTCAATGACAATAGCTGTTACGAAAAGTAAAAAAAAGAATAATCAAATAAAATTAATATTAAGATTTTTCCACTGATCTGTGTTGTCATTTCTGTACGATTCCAATCATTTTTTATCGTCAAGATCGCCAAATGCAGGGGGAGAGATGAGAGGTGAGGCAGCGACGAGCTCAGCCTCCCCTCTGATTGCGCAACCCCTCAGTAACTGGATGGAGCGTGGGCAATAAGCGCGTGCCTGTTACTATCTCTCTGTATGTCACCAATGTAATGTTTGTAGACCCCTTCATTTCACGTCCTCGCCTTCCATACTCCAGGTTAACTTATTTCACGTGCGTGTATAAAGATATTTAGGCTGGCTTGGTCTCGTCACGAAACTGCAATGAAAAAGCACCAGGGGAGGCAGATATCACATCTGCCTCACTGAGGGGGACAGTGAGGACACGCCCTCCTCAGTGAGGCCACGCCCCCTCAGTGAGGTCACGCCCCCTCAATGAGGCCACGCCCCCTCAGTGAGGCCACGCCCCCCTCAGCGAGGCCACGCCCCCTTCAGTGCGTTAATCGGGCACCTGATACTTGCCAGTGCCTCCCCAGCCAATGAGCTCGCCGCACGTCACTGGTGTGAGTGTTGATTGTGTGTAGTGTAGGGTGTTGTGTGAGTGTAAGGTGGATGCGGCGAGGCCGTAGGGGTGAGGGTCCCCTCACCGAACCCCTTCATCGCCTTCCGCAGGGCCTTGGCGTCGCTCTCTGGGTCGAAGCCCTCGAAGTCCAGCACGGTCTGAGCCACAAGGGACGGCCGGGGGAGGTGTGGTGAGTGGTGAGGCGTGGTGAGTGGTGAGGCGTGGTGAGTGGTGAGTGGTGAGGCGTGGTGAGTGGTGAGGTGTGGTGAGTGGTGAGGCGTGGTGAGTGGTGGGGCGTGGTGAGTGGTGAGGCGTGGTGAGTGATGGGGTGTGGTGAGTGGTGGGGAGTGGTGAGTGATGGGGAGTGGTGAGTGGTGGGGAGTGGTGAGTGGTGAGGTGTGGTGAGTGATGGGGTGTGGTGAGTGGTGGGGAGTGGTGAGTGGTGGGGTGTGGTGAGTGATGGGGAGTGGTGAGTGGTGGGGTGTGGTGAGTGATGGGGAGTGGTGAGTGTTGGGGTGTGGTGAGTGGTGGGGAGTGGTGAGTGGTGAGGTGTGGTGAGTGGTGAGGCGTAGTGAGTGGTGGGGTGTGGTGAGTGGTGGGGCGTGGTGGGGTGTGGTGAGTGATGGGGAGTGGTGAGTGGTGGGGAGTGGTGGGGCGTGGTGAGCGATGGGGCGTGGTGAGCGTTGGGGTGTGGTGAGTGGTGTGGTGAGTGTTGGGGTGTGGTGGGGTGTGGTGAGTGATGGGGTGTGGTGAGTGGTGAGTGATGGGGTGTGGTGAGTGGTGAGTGGTGGGGTGTGGTGAGTGGTGAGTGGTGGGGTGTGGTGAGTGATGGGGTGTGGTGAGTGGTGAGGTGTGGTGAGTGGTGAGCTGACATTTTAACTCGCACTCACCGCCATGCTGTCTTTCCTGTGAACTCAGTCGTGATCTCGTGACCCAATGACCTGGAAGTGTTAATTAAAGGGGAGGAGCCACGCCACAGTTCAGGGGTCAAGACTTCAATGATATCAGGCTGAGCTGACCTAGGAGGGGCCCACCCCAGCTGACATCGTCATGATCATCAGCCAAGGTCTATGCACAGCTGGATGAAGGCCGCCAACTCTCTCAATCCAGCAGCTACGCACTTCAACACGCACCCAGAGTCCAAATTTGTATTCATGCTGGAGGAATCCGATGAGCTATAAAGCTCTTTTTCACAGATGTCCGGTAGGGGCGGGTAAGAACGTTACAACAACAAACGGTAGCAAAGACACGATCGGAGTGCAGAGTACGATAAAGGTTAATACATCACCTAATCACACGCAAATCAAACGAAGCCATCCCCATCCTACCAGGCAGAGCCCACTGAGGTATGAACCTGAGTGGATGAGAGTGATGGGGTGGGTGGCCAGCGCCACGGCCAGCCGCCTTTGTCTCCCCGGTGGTGATGTTTCATCCACCACACCAGGTACTCATTTGAGGCCAAGTGGAGGGGTTACCAGCCCCTCGCACCCGTCCAGAGGGCCCCATGTGGCCACCGTGGTGGTTACTAACGCCATGAAGGGAATGGCCAATCTAAATTGGCTCTCTACCCACGGCACTGCCCACCACAGCGTCGCCGCCCGGCACCACGAGGAGGTAGGGGGGGTTGTTTTATGCCGGACAAGACAAAGTTCCCCCGTGTAGCCTTAACAGACTGTAGGGGCAAGTGCTGTTAGCGAGCAGCACCTATTAAGGCCGGAACGGCACACGAGGGGGTGGGTGGCCAGCACCACGCCCGACCGCCTTTGTCTCCCCAGTGACGATGTTGACTACACCGCACCAGGTACTCATTTGAGGCCGAGTCGATGTAGGGGAGGCCCGGGACCGGTTCAGATAATCGTCACTGGTGTTGGCCGTGAGCGGGAATCGAACCCGGGTCGCCGGGTTCATAGCGCAGCGTAGCGCTAACCGCTACACTACCGCTCCCCACTCAAACACACATTGACACACACACACACTGACACACACTCACACACTGAGACACTCAAACACACACTGACACACACTCACACAATGACACACTCTCACACACTCACACACTGAGACACACTCACACACTGAGACACACTCACACACTGAGACACACTCACACACTGAGACACTCAAACACACACTGACACACTGCCACACACACACTGAGACACTCAAACACACACTGACACACACTCACACACTGACACACTCTCACATACTCACACACTCTCACACACTCACACACTGAGACACACTCACACACTGAGACACACTCACACACTGAGACACTTAAACACACACTGACACACACTCACACACTGACACACACTCACACACTGACACACTCTCACACACTGACACACTGAGACACGCTCACACACTCACACACTGAGACACTCAAACACACACTGACACACACTCACACAAACACACACTGACACACTCTCACACACTGAGACACTCAAACACACACTGACACACACTCACACACTGACACACTCTCACACACTGACACACTGAGACACTCTCACATACTCACACACTGACACACACTCACACACTGACACACTCTCACACACTCACACACTGAGACACTCAAACACACACTGACACACACTCACACACTCTCACACTCACACACTGAGACACTCAAACACACACACACTGACACACACTCACACACAGACACACACTCACACACAGAGATCAGACACACTCAAAACACACTCAAAAACACACACACACTGACACACTGAGACACTCACACACTGAGACAATCACACACTGACACACTCACACACTGACACACTCACACACTGACACACAGAGATCAGACACACTCAAAACACACTCAAAAACACACTAAAAAACACACTCACACACTGACACACTGCCACACACTGAGACACTCAAACACACACTGACACACACTCACACACTGACACACTCTCACATACTCACACACTGCCACACACTCACACACTGAGACACTCAAACACACACTCACACACTGACACACTCAAACACACACTAACACACTCACACACTGACACACTCTCACATACTCACACACTCTCACATACACACTCACACACTGACACACTCTCACATACTCACACACTGCCACACACTCACACACTGAGACACTCACACACTGAGACACTCACAGATCAGACACACTCAAAACACACTCAAAAGCACACTGACACACTGACACATTGACATACTCAAACACACACTCGCACACAGACACACTCACACACTGACACACTCTCACACACTGACACACAAAGATCAGACACACTCAAAACACACACACACTGACACACACTCTCACACACTTACACACTGACACACTCACACACTGACACACACTCTCACACACTTACACACTGACACACTCACACACAGACACTCACACACAGACACACTCACACACACACACTGACACGTACCCCCCCCCCCCCCCCGTCTTTCACCCCCCACCACCACCATCCCCGCAGTGAGAATCCTTGAATAGCAATCAGGGTCAAGGATGTCACGTGACCAGCCCCCCCTCCCTCCCCACTACAGCCGCTTCCACTGTAACAAAAAACAATAAAACAGACAAAGCTGCCACCCCCCTTGTTGTAGCCCACACGGGCTGCTGGGGCAAGTGCTGTCAGCGAGCAGCAACAGCAGCGCCTATGAGGGCCGGCACTGCACCGCGCCCACCCGGCTGCCTTTGTCTCCCCAGTAAACGCGGAGCACCGGGTGTTACGACCCAGGGGAAACCAATTTATAACATTTTTGACATGCGTTTTTCTGGATTTTGTTGTTGTTATTCTGTCTCTCACTGTTCACATAAACCTACCATGAAAATTGTAGACTGATCATTTCTTTGTCAGTGGGCAAACATTACAAAATCAGCAGGGGATCAGATACTTTTTTTTCCCTCACTGTATGGGTCTCTGTACGAGTCTATGAGTCTCCATGTGAGTCTGTGAGTCTCCATGTGAGTCTATGGGTCTCTGTGCGAGTTTATGGGTCTCCGTGCGAGTTTATGGGTCTCTGTGCGAGTCTATGGGTCTCTGTGTGAGTCTATGGGTCTATGTACGAGTCTATTAGTCTCCATGTGAGTCTATGGGTCTCTGTGTGAGTCTATGGGTCTCTGTGCGAGTCTATGGTTCTCTGTGCGAGTCTATGAGTCTCTGTGTGAGTCTATGGGTCTCTGTGTGAGTCTATGGGTCTCTGTGCGAGTCTATGAGTCTCTATGTGAGTCTATGGGTCTCTGTGCGAGTCTATGGGTCTCTGTGCGAGTCTATGAGTCTCTGTGCGAGTCTATGGGTCTCTGTGTGAGTCTCTGTGCGAGTCTATTGGTCTCTGTGTGAGTCTCTGAGTCGCTGTGTGAGTCTATGGGTCTCTGTGTGAGTCTCTGAGTCTCTGTGTGAGTCTATGGGTCTCTGTGTGAGTCTCTGAGTCGCTGTGTGAGCCTTTTAGAAAGAGGTGAAAGTTATAGACAGACGACAACAAACACCCCCGTGTCTGAAATAGTTGGAAGGGTCGGGTCCAATTTGCACCAGCGTCATCGGCACCAGTTTCATCACCAACAGTTTCAACGTGACTGTCACCACCACCACCGTCATCATCATAATCATCAACAGGAGCATCACCATAATCATCAACAGGAGCATCACCACCATCATAATCATCAACAGGAGCCGCAGCATCACCACCACCATCATAATCATCAACAGGAGCATCATCACCACCACCATCATAATCATCAGGTGCATCATCACCACCACCATCATAATCATCAAAAGGAGGATCACCACCATCATAATCATCAACAGGAGCATCACCACCACCATCATAATCATCAACAGGAGCATCACCACCACCATAATCATCAACAGGAGCATCACCACCACCATCATAATCATCAACAGGAGCATCACCACCACCATAATCATCAACAGGAGCATCACCACCACCACCACAATCATCAACAGCAGCATCACCACCACCATAATCATCAACAGCATCACCACCACCATACTCATCAACAGGAGCATCACCACCACCATAATCATCAACAGCATCACCACCACCATAATCATCAACAGCATCACCACCACCATAATTATCAACAGCATCACCACCACCAATACTCATCAACAGGAGCATCACCACCATAATCATCAACAGCATCACCACCACCATACTCATCAACATGAGCATCACCACCGCCATAATCATCAACAACATCACCACCACAATCATCAACAGCATCACCACCACCATACTCATCAACAGCATCACCTCCACCATAATCATCAACAGCATCACCACCACCATCCTCATCAACAGCATCACCACCACCATAATCATCAACAGCATCACCACCACCATAATCATCAACAGCATCACCACCATCATAATCATCAACAACATCACCACCACCATAATCATCAACAGCATCACCACCACAATCATCAACAGCATCACCACCACCATACTCATCAACATGAGCATCACCACCACCATAATCATCAACAGCATCACCACCACCATACTCATCAACAGGAGAATCACCACAATAATCATCAACATCACCACCACCATAGTCATCAACATCACCACCACCATAATCATCAACAGCATCACCACCACCATAATCATCAACAGCATCACCACCATAATCCTCAACAGCATCACCACTATCATACTCATCAACAGGAGCATCACCACCATCATATTCATCAACAGCATCACCACCACCACAATCATCAACAGCATCACCACCACCATCCTCATCAACAGCATCACCACCACCATACTCATCAACATGAGCATCACCACCACCATAATCAACATGAGCATCACCACCACGATACTCATCAACATGAGCATCACCACCACCATAATCATCAACAGCATCACCACCACCATAATCATCAACAGCATCACTACCACCATAATCATCAACAGCATCACCACCATCATAATCATCAACAGCATCACCACCACCATAATCATCAACAGCATCACCACCACAATCATCAACAGCATCACCACCATAATCATCAACAGCATCCCACCACCATACTCGTCAACAGGAGCATCACCACCATAATCATCAACAGCATCACTACCATCATCCTCATCAACAGCATCACCACCACCATACTTACCAACAGGAACATCATCCCCATCATAATCATCAACAGCATCACCACCACCACAATCATCAACAACATCATCACCACCATAATCAACAGCATCACCACCACGATACTCATCAACATGAGCATCACCACCACCATAATCATCAACAGCATCACCACCATCATAATCATCAACAGCATCACCGCCACCATAATCATCAACAGCATCACCACCACAATCATCAACAGCATCACCACCATAATCATCAACAGCATCACCACAACCATACTGATCAACAGGAGCATCACCACCATAATCATCAACAGCATCACTACCATCATCCTCATCAACAGCATCACCACCACGATACTCATCAACAGGAACATCATCCCCATCATAATCATCAACAGCATCACCACCACCACAATCATCAACAACATCACCACCACCATACTCATCAACATGAGCATCACCACCACCATACTCATCAACAGGAGCATCACCACCATAATCATCAACAGCATCACTACCATCATCCTCATCAACAGCATCACCACCACCATACTCATCAACAGGAACATCATCCCCATCATAATCATCAACAGCATCACCACCACCACAATCATCAACATCACCACCACCATAATCATCAACAGCATCACCAGCACCATAATCATCAACAGCATCACCACCACCATACTCATCAACAGGAGCATCACCACCACCATAATCATCAACATCACCACCACAATCATCAACAGCATCACCACCACCATAATCATCAACAGGAGCATCACCACCATCATAATCAACAGGAGCATCACCACCACCATGAACATCAACAGCATCACCACCACCATAATCATCAACAGCATCACCACCATCATAATCATCACTAACAGGAGCATCACCACCACCATAATCATCATTAACAGGAGCATCACCACCACCATGATCATCATTAACAGGAGCATCACCACCACTATAATCATCAACTGGAGCATCACCACTATAATCATCATCAACAGGAGCATCTCCACCACCATAATCATCACCACCACCATAATCATCAACAGCAGCATCACCACCACGATAATCATCATCAACAGGAGCATCATCACCACCATAATCATCACCACCACCATAATCATCAACAGGAGCATCACCACCACCATAATCATCACCACCACCATAATCATCAACAGGAGCATCTCCACCACCACCATAATCATCAACAAGAGCATCTCCACCACCATAATCATCAACAGGCGCAGCAACAGCAGCAGCATCACTCTCAGCAGCATGGCCACCAACATCACCACCACCACAAGTGTAATGACAGGGTGACACCTGCCGGACTGTAAGGGTCATTACTACGGTCATCGGTGCCTTCCCGCAATGCCTTGTTACGTGAAGGGGCGTTTCTTGGGTCAAGGGTCAAGGGCGGTGCCAGTCGCGAAACTCCGGGAACCACCCCGGAGGGTCTGGTAGGTTCTAGAAAGGGGGCGTGGCCAGAGGTGGGGCGTGGGGGGTCTGTGTCGTGGTTGCGTGGCTGCTCGCCGTCATCTTCGTCTTCGACCACGTGACTCTTCGTGTCGCCGAGACCCGCTCCGCTCGTCGACCAGCTAGCGGAGTGCAGGGCGGGGCGCAGGGCGCAGGGCGGGGCGCAGGGCGGGGCGCCGGGCCTTGTGTGCAGCCGCGTTAGGGCAGTGTAGCGCCCTGTGTGCCCTTGATTAACAAGAAGCCTTCTGCTACTATCATCAATTAGTTGTTTGTTTTTTGTTTGTTTACACTACCTGCGTGACTTCACCGAATAAAACCAAAGGGCTATGAATTCTTGCAGTCACGAAAGCTTCAAATCTAAAAATGAAGCCTTCTACGATTAGGGGGCCGTTCCTAAATGACGTCACGCGATTTCGGACGATTTTTGTCACGCGGCGTCGCAAAAAGTCAGACCCCCCCCCCTCGAACATGACGTCACAAAGCTCTGCCCCCCCTCGTATATGACGTCACAAAGCTCTGCCCCCTCCCACCCCCCAAAATAAATATAAAACACGCTTCAAATCGCTTTAAACTATTGTCATTGTAGTTGCGTATTTAACGTGGCGCTGCACTCTGACGTTGTAGGAGAAAACATTTATTAAAAATAATATTTAATCAAGTAGAACGTGTCGTCTATGTTTATTTAAAGTTGCGCATTTTGATGTGACGTCACATTTCTCAAACTCCCCCCCACCCCCACCTCTCGTCACACATCGTCACAAATGTCTGACCCCCCCCCTCCTCCTCCCCCCCCCCCAGGTGCGTGACGTCATTTATGGCCGGCGGGCCCTAAGACGTGTGTAGAAAGTCGCCCACTAGACATCAATTGTTATTATAATGAGCCCTGGTACTTTGCTTCGTCACGTGGCTTAATTTATGAAGCCAATTCACGGACAGAAACAGAGATCCCCCCGTGTTGCTCTGCGCGAGCGAGAAGCGTGAACAGCACCACGCCCGACCGCCTTTGTCTTCCCCGTGCTGCTGTTTCACGCACACCGCAACAGTTTCACATTTGGGTCCGAGTCGGCCCTGTGGGGAGGGCACCCCAGGACCGGCTCAGATCGATCGCCGCCCATGATCGCCGTCACCGGGAATTTCACTCAGAAAGGGGGGGTTGGGCGAGTTTTCGCAGTGCGGTGCTAACCACTGCGCCACCGCTCCTCAACTCTCACTCCTCCCCGCCTAGCACCACGGCCCCTTCTCCGTCCACTCCACAATCGCGACCGTCCTTGACCCCGGCCTGGCACCGTCCCGAGGCCCCCGTCAGGAGGCGGGAGGGTGGACGCGAGCCTACTTGCCGTGCTGCTGCTGCTGCTGCTGCTGCGGCTGCCCCGCCGGGGTTCGTACCGGGACGTCCGCGGCCTGCGAGCTGACGACGAGGCCGAGCGCCAGCGATGACCGGGCAGAGAGCGAGGAGGGAGAGAGGAGAGGGGCGAGAGGGGGGTCGAGGAGAGGGGAGAGAGGGGAGGGGCTAGAGGGGGAGAAGGGCGAGGGGGGAGGGGCTAGTGGGGAGAGGGGGGAGAGGGGAGGGGCTAGAAGGAAGAGGGGGGAGAGGGGATGGAGAGGGGCGAGAGGGAAGAGGGACGAGGGGCTAGAGGGGAGAGGGGCGAGGGGTGAGAGGGGATGGAGAGAGGAGGGGAGGGGCTAGAGGGGCTAGAGGGGAGAGGGGCGAGGGGGGAGGGGCTAGAGGGGAGAGGGGGGGAGAGGAGGGGGGGAGAGGGGAGGGGCTAGAGAGGAGAGGGGATGGAGAGGGGAGGGGCTAGAGGGGGGTAGAGGCAAGAGAGAAGGGGAGGGGCTTGATGAGATTTATTGGTGGGGGGGGGGGGGGATGAAGGAGAGGGGGGAGAGGGGAGTGGTCGTGGCAATCTGTGAGGTGGCTTTAGAGATGTCGGGCAGAGGGAAGTGGAGGAGAGACAATGAATGAGATGGAGGAGAGACAATGAATGAGATGGAGGAGAGACAATGAATGAGATGGAGGAGAGACAATGAATGAGATGGAGGAGAGTCAATGAATGAGATGGAGGAGAGTCAATGAATGAGATGGAGGAGAGTCAATGAATGAGATGGAGGAGAGACAATGAATGAGATGGAGGAGAGTCAATGAATGAGATGGAGGAGAGACAATGAATGAGATGGAGGAGAGTCAATGAATGAGATGGAGGAGAGTCAATGAATGAGATGGAGGAGAGACAATGAATGAGATGGAGGAGAGTCAATGAATGAGATGGAGGAGAGTCAATGAATGAGATGGAGGAGAGTCAATGAATGAGATGGAGGAGAGACAATGAATGAGATGGAGGAGAGTCAATGAATGAGATGGAGGAGAGAATGAATGAGATGGAGGAGAGACAATGAATGAGATGGAGGAGAGTCAATGAATGAGATGGAGGAGAGTCAATGAATGAGATGGAGGAGAGTCAATGAATGAGATGGAGGAGAGTCAATGAATGAGATGGAGGAGAGTCAATGAATGAGATGGAGGAGAGTCAATGAATGAGATGGAGGAGAGTCAATGAATGAGATGGAGGAGAGTCAATGAATGAGATGGAGGAGAGACAATGAATGAGATGGAGGAGAGTCAATGAATGAGATGGAGGAGAGACAATGAATGAGATGGAGGAGAGTCAATGAATGAGATGGAGGAGAGTCAATGAATGAGATGGAGGAGAGACAATGAATGAGATGGAGGAGAGTCAATGAATGAGATGGAGGAGAGTCAATGAATGAGATGGAGGAGAGTCAATGAATGAGATGGAGGAGAGACAATGAATGAGATGGAGGAGAGTCAATGAATGAGATGGAGGAGAGTCAATGAATGAGATGGAGAAGAGACAATGAATGAGATGGAGGAGAGACAATGAATGAGATGGAGGAGAGTCAATGAATGAGATGGAGGAGAGACAATGAATGAGATGGAGGAGAGACAATGAATGAGATGGAGGAGAGACAATGAATGAGATGGAGGAGAGACAATGAATGAGATGGAGGAGAGACAATGAATGAGATGGAGGAGGGACAATGAATGAGATGGAGGAGGGACAATGAATGAGATGGAGGAGGGACAATGAATGAGATGGAGGAGAGTCAATGAATGAGATGGAGGAGAGACAATGAATGAGATGGAGGAGAGTCAATGAATAAGATGGAGGAGAGACAATGAATGAGATGGAGGAGAGTCAATGAATGAGATGGAGGAGAGACAATGAATGAGATGGAGGAGAGACAATGAATGAGATGGAGGAGAGTCAATGAATGAGATGGAGGAGAGTCAATGAATGAGATGGAGGAGAGTCAATGAATGAGATGGAGGTGGGGAGGAGCGGGATCTGCCCTCGTGGTGATGGTTGTTGGTGCTGTTGTGGGATTTGTGAGTCATGGAAAGTCGAGATTCCCTCTGCTCGCACCTCCGGTTTCACGCACTCACCATCACCCACTCACCCGAACCCCATCTCACGATCACCCACTCACCCGAACCCCATCTCACGATCACCCACTCACCCACTCACTCACTCGCCCACTCACTCACCCACTCACCCACCAATCGCCCAACACTCACCCACTCACACCTAACACTCACCCAACACCCACCCAACACTCACCCAACACCCACCCACCACTCACCCAACACTCACCCAACACTCACCCAACACCCACCCACTCGCACCCATCACTCGCCCAACACTCACCCAACACCCACCCAACACTCACCCACCCACCACTCACCCAACACTCACCCAACACTCACCCAACACTCAACCAACACTCACCCAACACTCAACCAACACCCACCCACTCGCACCCACCACTCGCCCAACACTAACCCAACACTCACCCAACACTCACCCACCCACCACTCACCCAACACTCACCCACCACTCACCCACCACTCACCCACTCGTCCAACACTCACCCACCACTCACCCACCACTCACCCACCACTCGCCCACCACTCACCCACTCGTCCAACACTCACCCACCACCCACCCAACACTCACCCACCACCCACCTACCACTCACCCACTCGCCCAACACTCACCCAACACTCAACCAACACTCACCCAACATTCACCCACCACCCACCCACTCGCACCCACCACTCACCCAACACTCACCCACCACTCACCCAACACTCACCCAAAACTCACCCAACACTCACCCAACACTCACCCGAACCCCACCCACCACTCACCCACCACCCACCTAACACTCGCCCAACACTCACCCAACACCCACCCACCCATTCGTACCCAACACTCACCCACCACTCACCCACCCACTCACACCCAACACTCACCCAACACTCACCCACTCGCCCAACACTCACCCAACACTCACCCACCACTCACCCAACACTCACCCAAAACTCACCCAACACTCACCCAACACTCACCCGAACCCCACCCACCACTCACCCACCACCCACCTAACACTCGCCCAACACTCACCCAACACTCACCCACCCACTCGTACCCAACACTCACCCACCACTCACCCACCCACTCACACCCAACACTCACCCAACACTCATCCACTCGCCCAACACTCACCCAACACTCACCCAACACTCATCCACTCGCCCAACACTCACCCAACACTCACCCAACACTCGCCCACCCACTCACCCGAACCCCACCTCACGATCACCCACTCACCCACCACTCGCACCCAACACTCAACCAACACTCACCCACCACTCACCCAACACTCACCTAACACTCACCCACCACCCACCCACTCACCCAACACTCACCCAACACTCACCCACCACCCACCCAACACTCACCCACCACCCACCCAACACTCACCCAACACTCACCCACCACTCACCCAACACTCACCTACCACCCACTCGCCCAACACTCACCCAACACTCACCCAACACTCACCCACCACCCACCCAACACTCACCCAACACTCACCTACCACTCACCCACCCACTCGCCCAACTCTCACCCAATACTCACCCAACACTCACCCACCCACACCCAACACTCACCCAACACTCACCCACCACCCACCCAACACTCACCCAACACTCACCTACCACCCACTCGCCAACACTCACCCAACACTCACCTACCACTCACCCACCACTCACCCAACACTCACCCACCACCCACCCACTCGCCCAACTCTCACCCAACACTCACCCAACACTCACCCACCCACTCAAAACTCACCCACCACCCACCCAACCAACACTCACCCACCAACCACCCAACACTCACCCACCACTCACCCACCACCCACCCACCACTCACCCACCACTCACCCACCACCACCCACCACCCACCCACTCTGCCCCCTCTCTCCCTGTCGTCCTGGCCACGCTATTTCCGTCTCCTCTTGGCCTGCCGCCCGCGTGTGGTGCAACTTTAAAGGGACCGTGCGGGGTGAGAGTGAGCGGGTGTTCATGCGAGTGAGAGAGTGAGCGGGTGTTCATGCGGGTGTGAGAGTGAGCGGGTGTTCGTGCGAGTGAGAGAGTGAGCGGGTGTTCATGCGGGTGTGAGAGTGAGCGGGTGTTCATGCGGGTGTGAGAGTGAGCGGGTGTTCGTGCGAGTGAGAGAGTGAGCGGGTGTTCATGCGAGTGAGCGGGTGTTCATGCGAGTGTGAGAGTGAGCGGGTGTTCATGCGAGTGTGAGACTGAGCGGGTGTTCATGCGAGTGTGAGAGTGAGCGGGTGTTCATGTGAGAGTGAGCGGGTGTTCATGCGGGTGTGAGAGTGAGCGGGTGTTCATGTGAAAGTGAGCGGGTGTTCATGTGAGTGAGTAAGCGGGTGTTCATGCGAGTGTTCGAGTGAGCGGGTGTTCATGCGAGTGTTCGAGTGAGCGGGTGTTCATGCGAGTCTGAGAGTGAGCGGGTGTTTATGCGAGTGAGCGGGTGTTCATGCGAGAATGAGCGGGTGTTCATGCGGGTGTTCGAGTGAGCGGGTGTTCATACGAATGAGAGTTAGCGGGCGTTCATGCGATGGTGAGAGTGAGCAGGTGTTCGTGCGAGTGTGAGAGTGAGCGGGTGTTCATGCGGGTGTTCGAGTGAGCGGGTGTTCATGCGGGTGTGAGAGTGAGCGGGTGTTCATGCGAGTGTGAGAGTGAGCGGGTGTTCATGCGGGTGTGAGAGTGAGCGGGTGTTCATGTGAGAGTGAGCGGGTGTTCATGCGGGTGTGAGAGTGAGCGGGTGTTCATGCGGGTGTGAGAGTGAGCGGGTGTTCATACGAGAGAGTGAGCGGGTGTTCATGCGAGTGAGTGTGATCGAGTGTTCATGCGAGTGAGCGGGTGTTCATGCGAGCGGAGTTGGACGCAGTCGCCCTCCAGCAACAACGTTAGGGGCAGAGGAGCGACGCCCACAACAACGAGCGGAGCGCGCCGGGCGGCTAAAAACGCAGCAGAGTGCATGGGACGCGAGCGGTGCGATGGGCGCCTCCCCGAACCAGCGAGCCTCCCCTTCCACACTCCACGTGGCCTCTCCACGTGCACCTAGTGTGGCACAAGCGCCGTGGTGACGTCACCGTGCTGACCGACGTCGCGCGCGGGTGGACGGACTGAATCGCAAGGAGCGGCTCGTAAACGAAATGTGAGTTTCCAACCTTCGTTGTCAAAGTGCACGGCACTCTGGTGGCGAGAGTGGGGGGCGGTTGTTGTTGTTGTTGTGCGTGGCAAGGCACGCGCACGCGCGTTAACACCGCGCGCGTGCCGTGTTCACGCGCGAGGGGTTCTCTCACCACACCCACCACTCCCCCGTTCCCCGTTGCTATTTCGAGGCACTGTGCCCGTCTCTAGCCCACACCACCACCCACACCACCACCCACACCACCACCCACACCACCACCACCACCCACACCACCACCCACACCACCACCACCCACACCACCACCCACACCACCACCCACACCACCACCACCCCCACCTACACCACCACCCACACCACCACCCACACCACCACCCCCACCCACACCACCACCCACACCCACACCCACACCACCACCCACACCACCACCCCCACCCACACCACCACCCCCACCCACACCACCACCCACACCCACACCACCACCCACACCCCCACCCAAACCACCACCCCCACCACCACCCACACCACCACCCACACCACTACCCACACCACCACCCCCACCACCACCCATACCACCACCCACAACACCACCCACACCACCACCCACACCCACACCACCACCCACACCACCACCCACACCCACACCACCACCTACACCACCACCCCCACCCACACCACCACCCACATCCACACCACTACCCACACCACCACCCCCACCACCACCCACACCCACACCACCACCCACACCAACACCACCACCCACACCACCACCATCACCACCACCACCACCACCACCCCCACCACCACCCCCAGCACCACCCACACCACCACCCCCACCACCACCCACACCACCACCCCCACCACCACCCACACCACCACCCACACCACCACCACCAACCACACCACCACCCCCACCACCACCCACACCACCACCCACAACACCACCACCACCCACACCACCACCCACACCACCACCCACACCACCACCCCCACCCACACCACCACCACCACCCACAACACCACGCACCCACCCACACCACCACCCCCAGGCCTGCCCATCACTCGCAGCCCCGGATCGGTGCCGAGCCCACACGCCCTCCACCCCCCCTCCTTCCCTCCTGGACATCTGTGAAGAAGAGCTTCACAGCTCATCGGATTTCTCCTCCAGGATTCTATGATCTCCCGGCACGGCACCTTGAACATCCACCAACCCCCCCCCCCTTCCCTCATCGCTTCAACAAAGCACGTGTCCGAGATGACCACACGAAGCATCAGAGTCATCTGACGATGCTTCTCGGCGGTCCGCTTTTTACTTTATTGTGCAGCGCGGGTGGAGAGTTCCTGCTCCGAGCACGAGTACAAACGCACCACCCCCTCCCCGCCGTGTAGCCTTAACAGACTGTAGGGGCAAGTGCTGTTAGCGAGCACCTGTGAAGGCCGGCACGGCACACGAGGGGGTCGGTGGCCAACACCACGCCCGGCCGCCTTTGTCTCCCCAGCGGCGATGTTCACTACACACCGCACCAGGTACTCGTTTGAGGCTGGGAGGCCCAGGACCGGTTCAGATAATCGTCACCGGCGTTGGCCGTGAACGGGAATCGAACCCGGGTCGCCAGGTTCGTAGCGCAGCGTAGCGCTAACCACTAAACCACCACTCACCATCACACACACACACGCAGACACACACATAGACACACAGACACACACATAGACACACAGGCACACACATAGACACACAGACACACAGACAACAACAACCGCCATTCGCCACTAAGTGGCGGTGACGTCACCACGACGCTTGTGCTAGGCCATGTGCACACACACATAGACACACACACACACACAGACACACACATAGACACACACAGACACACACATAGACACACACACATAGACACACACACATAGACACACACAGACACATAGACACACACACACACAGACACACACACACATAGACACACACACACATAGACACACACAGACACATAGACACAGACACACACACAGACACACACACACACAGACACACAGACACACACACACATAGACACACACAGACACATAGACAGACAGACACACACAGACAGACACACAGACACACACAGACACACACAGACACATAGACACACACACACAGACACACACAGACACAACAACAACAACCGCCATTCGCCACGGGCTACTGGAGGCAGCTTCCACCCCGGGGTCGACTCCTGGCACGGTCTGCTGGAGGCGAGTTGATCCCAGAGTAGGAGTTCACTTTGGTCACTGAAGGTTTTCGATAAAGGCAACTGTGGGTGACTATGAGGGCGACTGTGGGTGACTATGAGGGCGACTGTGGGTGTGACTGTGAGTGTGACGGTGACTGTGATGGTGACTGTGATGGTGAGTGTGACTGTGAGTGTGACTGTGAGTGTGACTGTGGGTGACTATGAGGGTGACTGTGATGGTGACTGTGAGTGTGACTGTGATGGTGAGTGTGACTGAGTGTGACTGTGAGTGTGACTGTGAGTGTGACTGTGATGGTGACTGTGATGGTGACTGTGATGGTGACTGTGAGTGTGAGTGTAACTGTGAGTGTGACTGTGAGGGTGACTGTGAGTGTGACTGTGATGGCGACTGTGAGTGTGGCTGTGAGGGCGACTGTGGGTGACTATGAGGGTGACTGTGGGTGTGACTGTGAGTGTGACGGTGACTGTGATGGTGACTGTGATGGTGAGTGTGACTGTGAGTGTGACTGTGAGTGTGACTGTGGGTGTGAGTGTGACTGTGAGTGTGACTGTGGATGACTATGAGGACGACTGTGGGTGACTATGAGTGTGACTGTGAGTGTGACTGTGAGTGTGACTGTGATGGTGAGTGTGACTGTGAGTGTGACTGTGACTGTGAGTGTGACTGTGAGTGTGACTGTGATGGTGAGTGTGACTGTGATGGTGAGTGTGACTGTGAGGGTGACTGTGAGTGTGACTGTGAGTGTGACTGTGGGTGACTATGAGGGTGACTGTGGGTGTGACTGTGAGTGTGACGGTGACTGTGATGGTGACTGTGATGGTGAGTGTGACTGTGAGTGTGACTGTGAGTGTGACTGTGGGTGACTATGAGGACGACTGTGGGTGACTATGAGTGTGACTGTGAGTGTGACTGTGAGTGTGAGTGTGACTGTGAGTGTGAGTGTGACTGTGAGTGTGACTGTGGGTGACTATGAGGACGACTGTGGGTGACTATGAGTGTGACTGTGAGTGTGACTGTGAGTGTGACTGTGATGGTGAGTGTGACTGTGAGTGTGACTGTGACTGCGAGTGTGACTGTGAGTGTGACTGTGATGGTGAGTGTGACTGTGATGGTGAGTGTGACTGTGAGGGTGACTGTGAGTGTGACTGTGAGTGTGACTGTGGGTGACTATGAGTGTGACTGTGATGGTGAGTGTGACTGTGAGTGTGACTGTGAGGGTGACTGTGAGTGTGACTGTGAGTGTGACTGTGGGTGACTATGAGTGTGACTGTGATGGTGAGTGTGACTGTGAGTGTGACTGTGAGTGTGACTGTGATGGTGAGTGTGACTGTGAGTGTGACTGTGATGGTGAGTGTGACTGTGAGTGTGACTGTGACTGCGAGTGTGACTGTGAGTGTGACTGTGATGGTGAGTGTGACTGTGATGGTGAGTGTGACTGTGAGGGTGACTGTGAGTGTGACTGTGAGTGTGACTGTGGGTGACTATGAGTGTGACTGTGATGGTGAGTGTGACTGTGAGTGTGACTGTGAGTGTGACTGTGAGTGTGAGGGTGACTGATGGTGAGTGTGACTGTGAGTGTGACTGTGAGGGTGACTGTGAGTGTGACTGTGAGTGTGACTGTGGGTGACTATGAGTGTGACTGTGATGGTGAGTGTGACTGTGAGTGTGACTGTGAGTGTGACTGTGACTGTGAGTGTGACTGTGAGTGTGACTGTGAGCGTGAGGGTGACTGATGGTGAGTGTGACTGTGAGTGTGACTGTGAGTGTGACTGTGAGTGTGACTGTGTGACTGTGAGTGTGACTGTGAGTGTGACTGTGAGTGTGATGGTGACTGTGAGTGTGACTGTGACTGTGAGTGTGACTGTGATGGTGGCTGTGAGTGTGACTGTGATGGTGACTGTGAGTGTGACTGTGAGTGTGACTGTGAGTGTGACTGTGATGGTGAGTGTGACTGTGAGGGTGACTGTGAGTGTGACTGTGAGTGTGACTGTGGGTGACTATGAGTGTGAGTGTGACTGTGAGTGTGACTGTGAGTGTGACTGTGACTGTGAGTGTGACTGTGACTGTGAGTGTGACTGTGACTGTGAGTGTGACTGTGAGTGTGACTGTGAGTGTGAGTGTGACTGTGTGACTGTGAGTGTGACTGTGAGTGTGATGGTGACTGTGAGTGTGACTGTGACTGTGAGTGTGACTGTGATGGTGGCTGTGAGTGTGACTGTGATGGTGACTGTGAGTGTGACTGTGAGTGTGACTGTGATGGTGAGTGTGACTGTGAGGGTGACTGTGAGTGTGACTGTGAGTGTGACTGTGGGTGACTATGAGTGTGAGTGTGACTGTGAGTGTGACTGTGAGTGTGACTGTGACTGTGAGTGTGACTGTGACTGTGAGTGTGACTGTGAGTGTGACTGTGAGTGTGAGGGTGACTGTGAGTGTGAGGGTGACTGATGGTGAGTGTGACTGTGAGTGTGACTGTGAGTGTGACTGTGAGTGTGAGTGTGACTGTGAGCGTGAGGGTGACTGATGGTGAGTGTGACTGTGAGTGTGACTGTGAGTGTGACTGTGAGTGTGACTGTGTGACTGTGAGTGTGACTGTGAGTGTGATGGTGACTGTGACTGTGAGTGTGACTGTGAGTGTGACTGTGATGGTGGCTGTGAGTGTGACTGTGATGGTGACTGTGAGTGTGACTGTGAGTGTGACTGTGAGTGTGACTGTGAGGGTGACTGTGAGTGTGATGGTGACTGAGTGGCTGAGGGTGACTAAGGGGAGCAGAGCTTGAGTAGAGTCTCCCTGAAGTCTCCCCCCACCTCCCCCTAAGGGTGGAGAGCATCAACACCGTCAACACCATCACCACTGTCAACACCATCAACACCATCATCACCATCACCACCATCAACACCATCACCACCATCAACACCATCACCACCATCAACACCATCATCACCACCATCAACACCATCAACACCGTCAACACCATCAACACCGTCAACACCATCATCATCACCACCATCAAACCAATCACCATCATCATCGCCACCAACACAGCAACATCATCATCACCATCAACAACACAATCACCATCACCATCAACACCGTCAACACCATCACCACCATCATCATCACCACCGTCAACACCATCAACAACACAATCACCATCACCATCAACACAATCACCACCATCACCATCAACACCACCACCATCAACACCATGACCACCATCAACACAATCGCCACCGTCATCGCAGCAACACCATAATCACCATCAACCAACACCATCAACACGACACCATCATTACCATCACCACAACCACACCCTCTCATCATCATCATCATCGTCGTCGTCGTCACCACCACCGGGACTGCGAGCGAGGCGATGAGGAGGCCCTCACCTGGATCGAGGTGGCGAGAGGGCCACCGTACTTGTTGGCGAACACTTCCTGGATGTCCCCGAGGTCAATCTCGGAGCGGGAGACGAGGACTCGCAGCAGCGTGCGCTCGTCCGTGCCCGCGCCCTGCATCACAACCACAGCGTCACACCGCAGCATCACACCGCAGCATCACAGCGTCACACCGCAGCGTCACACCGCAGCGTCACACCGCAGCGTCACAACCACAGCGTCACACCGCAGCGTCACACTGCAGCGTCACACCGTCACAGCGTCACAGCGTCACAGCGTCACACCGCAGCGTCACAGCATCACACCGCAGCGTCACACCGCAGCGTCACACCGCAGCGTCACAGCATCACGGCCACAGCGGCACAACCACAGCGTCACACTGCAGCGTCACACCACAGCGTCACAGCGTCACAGCGTCACACCGCAGCGTCACAGCATCACACCGCAGCGTCACAGCGTCACAGCGTCACACCGCAGCGTAACAACGCAGCGTCACAACCACAGCGTCACAGCGTCATAGCGTCACACCACAGCATCACAACCACAGCGTCACACCGCAGCGTCACAACCACAGCGTCACACCGCAGGGTCACAGCGTCACAGCCACAGCGTCACACCGCAGCGTCACAACCACAGCGTCACAACCACAGCGTCACAACCACGGGCCCTTGCCCAGCTCTCCGACACACAGCAGCTGTGAGCAAACGTCACCACCACCACCACACCACCACCTCACCATCACCTCACAACCACCTCACTACCACCATCATCACGACCACCACCTCACCACCACCATCACCACCATCACCACCACCACCATCACCACCATCACC